GCAATGTGGGAAATGGCCAGCTCTTCTGTTTTAATCTAGTAGCAGCCATGGACCTTATGCTAGTGAGCACACACAGCTGTGTCCGGAAGAACATAAGGTACATACAGGCACCAATGAGTTCTGGGGTTATCCAGCTGTGCTCTACACTGTCCTAGTATGACTTCTCCTCCTCCACGGCTGTATCCTAAATCTTCAAGCCTGAGACATTCTGTTCCTGTCCACTCTGGGGCATCTCCTCCTGTCCCTGTCTGTGTCTCCATGCCTCTTGTCTGAGAATGTCCATGGCCATTTCCCCCTGACTCTGGGACTTTATGCACTTTGAAATGAACAGATGTATATAGAAATGGTAGACCGTAGAAGGAGGTCATGATTTTCTACCTGAAAACCAGATAAGTAGTAAGAAACAAAACAAAACCACTTATAGTGTAAACAGCTGACAATCCCATTAATTATGGACTAAAGCACTATGCTAACATTAATGATGCTTCCTAAGAAACAACATGGAATTTTCTGGAAAAAACACCTGCTGTTCACACCTTCGTCCCTTTTCTCAGGAGGGACAATGAAATCTGCTTCAGTTTAAGATAATGGGATATTTAATAAGGACATACCTGCAACTTAAAGCATTGATGGGTGACTCTAGAGTTCTGGTCCAAAGTAGATGGTATTGACTCCATTTTCTTTCCTTCTCAGAATAACATAACTTTGAACCTTGACAATGGTGCTGGAAACAGCCAAGGGGAGACACTTGAGAAAGTGTCGACAAGATGATTAATGTTGTAGGAGTACCCAAATTGAAGACTAAGACAGAAGCAGAACACGCCCCCCTCCCCTTCACCACACACTACAGGAAGGAGCCACACACCCACCCATAACCCCTGGTGCAAGACCGACCTTATGATGCCTAGTCTCTAGGTAGAAGAGGAGTCCAATCTTTTGACTACAGCAGGAATAAATGGCTGTGAAATATTGTCATTGTACATATGTGAGACTCCTCTCCTGCCAAGAGTGTACTCTAGCCACACTCTGAAGTTTGTGACTTAGATTTTTTGTTTTCTTTGCCAAATGTGTGAGGCTTGTGTGAAGCAACGTCTTCACAGGAGCGTTAGAGACTCATATATAATCAGAGGCTTTGACAAACACAGTTTTTTGTTTATTTGTTTGTTTTTTTGCAGCTCCGTAGTTGGGACAGATAGACACTGTCCTTAGGAAGGACAGTGGGAGTCCTTCCTGGCAGTGGGAGGCAGAGGCACAGATTGAAGTTTCTCCTTCCATTCCTTCACCCATCCCTGACCACAGCCAACCCTATTTTTTTTAGACTGGCCCCAGATCTAAGATTCAGGAGTCAGATGCTTCTGCAGAATTGGGTGGCCCTGAAACTCATCTTGATCCCATTCAGCACCAAGGTCAGTAAAATCCATACACAGATCTTCCAGGTCCAAATGACTCCTAGAGGATGGAGTTTCCTGGGCAAAATCTATGCCAGACCTCAGCACTGAGGGGAGAGGTCAAGGAGGGGACTGGCTGTTTAGTATCCTTGGGAAAGTGGAAAGGGAAAAAACAAAAGGTTAGGTGAACTTATCTGATAGGGTTGGTGAGTAGCCACATATGGAAAAAAAAATATGGTTTGACTGGGAATGGCTTCCAGAAAGTCACGTGTGTGAATACTTGATCTATGGGGAGTGGCACTATAGGAGGTGTGGCCTTGTTGGAGTAGGTGTGGCTTAATTAGAGGGTGTGTGTCACTGCGGGGAAGGGGCTTTGAGATCTCAGAATATCAAGAGAGTGCTCTGCTTGCTGCCTGCAAATCTAGATGTAGAACTCTCATCCCCTTTTCCAGAATCCGTGTTTGCCTGAAAGCTGCCATGCTTCCTACCGTGACAGCAATGACCTAAATATCTGAAACTGTAAGCCAGCCCCAATTAAATGTTTTCCTTTACAGTAGTTGCCTTAGCCATGGTGTCTTTTCACAGTAATAAAACCCTAACTAAGACAGAAGGCGGTACCAGGGGTGGGGTATTGTGGCAGGACCATGCTTTTGTTTGGAGGAATGTAGACTTTTTGGAAAGGCAGTTACATGCTTTACGTGGGGCATAATGGGCCATACTAGCAGGAACATGGAACACAGTGGTACTGAGGGGGATTTGAACTGCATGGGTTAGGCTCAAGAGGTTTCAGAGGAGAAGATTATTATTAACTGGCCTAGAGACCATTCTTATGATACTTTGGCAAAGAATGTGGCTAGTTTTTTTGTCCTTGTCTGAAAAGTCTGCCTGATGCTAAATTAAAGAGTTTTGAGCTAATTGCATTGGCAAGACAGATTTCCAAATAGCCTGGAGTTAACTGTTTCCTGTGGTTTAGTGGCCAGTCTTATGCAGAGCTATTAAAGAAAACAAAGGAGCAAGCTGAGCAAAGAAAAATAAAAAATACACAGTTTTGAGGACAAAAGGGGCACCAGGAAGCATACACAGATTAAAGAAAAGCCAGATTCTAAGTGGAATAGAGGGAGCGGTGACTTAGAGCAAGACCCTGGCCCACTACGATTCCAACTTGAGAAGAGGAATTTTAAACAAGTGAAAAAGAATTAAAGAAATGTGTAGGGCTGGGTGTGGTGTTGCACGTCTTTAATCCCAGCACTCAGAATGGAGAAGCTGGCAGATCGCTGAGTGCAAGGCCAGCTAAACTTGGGCAGTTAAGGAAACTATTGAAAATAGAAATCTGGTGGAAATTTGTTTGAACAAGAGGCCCAAGTTCTAGCTCCAGCAAGCAGCAGAACTTCACAACTTCAGCCACATTCTTTTCCAAAATATATATAACTAGGCCGGTTAATACCATTCTCCTCTGAGACCTCTTGAGCCAGGCTATCATAGTCTACATTGCTCTCGGCACCTCTGTCTTCTCTGCTCCTACTAGGATGGCCCATTAAGCCCCACTTACAGTGTCCAACCACTTTTCTGGTCCAAATTCCCAAAGTCTACATTCCATCAACAAGCAGCCTGGTCAGACCTGTCACACCAGTACCCGACTCCTGGTACCGACTTCTGTCTTAGCCAGTGTTCTGTTGCTATCAAGAGATGTCATGACCACAGCAACTCTTATAAAGGAAAGCATTTAATTGGGGCTTGCTTCCTGCTTTAGAGGTTTAGTCTATTTTTATGACAGTGGGGGCCATGGTGGCTTGCAGGTAGACATGGTACTAAGAGTTCTACGTCCAGATCCACAGGCAGCAGGAAGAGAGAGACAAACACTATGCATGGCATGAGCTTTTGAAACGCCAAAGTCAATCCTTCAGTGTCACATTCCCTCCAATAAGGCCACACCTAATCCCTCTCAAGTAGTGCCAGTGTCTGATGACCAAGAATTCAAATATATGAGGCTTTGGGGGGCATTCTTATTCAAACAACTCCACTTATGCTATTTTATCACAAGAACAGAAACGGTAAATCAGAGATTATAATCTCTCTGAACCCCGCATTCTCTCCTATGTCTTCTGGCTGTTGTTCCACTTGCTGGTCTGTCATAACGTACTCTGTGTGGGCCACACCAGGGATACCTGGGGAAGGGAAGTACATTAGGAAGTTTGACCTGGGGGACACATTTTATGAAGCCATTGGAGTTTGGTCCTCCCATTCCATGTGCTTATTCCTGAAAACTCACTTGCTAGCTTCACAGGTGAGCCAGGGTTCCAACCAGCTCCTTCATCAACCCCCTCCCTGAGGCAGCTGGCGTTATCTTCATCCTCTTCCTCTCCTGTTACAGTCTGGTGGTTTGTTCTCAGGTGTTAATTGCTTGACCTTGTGAGGGTCTTACTGTTCTATGAGCAAACCCTCGGGTAGCCGGTGATGCTGTGAAACGTTGCCTCCCAGATTATCCCTGATTGGCTAAACAAAGTCGACCGCACAGCTGGGTTCGGCAGAAGTGAGGTATACCTGGGAAGACAGGCTTAGAAGACAGGATCACAGGAGGGAGAAGAGGAGGCAGGAGAGAGCTAGAAGAGAGGAGGAAGAAGCAGAGATCACCATGGGTTAGCGTAACAAAGAACCATGTGGCTGGGAGAAGCTTGCTCTGAGGATTGGTGTTGGAGAGAAGAGGCCTACATGAAAATAATATGCAAGTATTAATGGGAATAATGGATGAGGGGTAGACCAGATAGGAACAATTAAAGCAAGCAATATGGAATGTGGGGCTGGGCAGTAAAAGATAGCTTACGGGGTTAGTTTCTACCCAGTTTTCAGTGTATAGGTATATTAAAAATCTAACAGGAGTATGTGTCTTTTATTGATATGATAGCGGGTTAAATAATAACCAAAATAATAATTATGGTATTAATAGTAAATATTAATAACCTTTTGTACAACACTCTCCTCATTCTATATAGACCGTCTCCGCCCTTCCTCTCAATTTTCCAGCAAACAGGAGATCCTCATGATGTGCTTCTGCTACACACTCATCCATCCATTTACTCTCTCATTCATCTGTTCATTCCACTGCACCTAGGGGTGAAGGATATGGGAGCTCACCATCTCTCGTTTCTTTGCAGGGTCCCTGACGAGGGAGCCAAGATTCCAGCTGGTGGTGACCAAATCAGTGACAGCTGAGGAGGACCTATGTGTCCATGTGCCCCTGGTCCTCCTTCCTCAAGGTTCCTCTGTCAACCTCTGAGTCCTGCTTCTGCTAAGACTGTTGAGCGCACCCAGGAGCTGTGGACTGTCAGACAGCATCGAATGTTCTGTTGGTAACAAAACATTGTCGGTAATGTTCTGTGCGTCTGTGGGAGGAAGCCAGAGAGGAGACAGCAGCAGAGGATGGGTCCTCCTCAATGAGTGTGGCCCCACAGTGCTCCATCTGGAAAGTGGAAGTGTTATTTTCAAGTTACAAGACAGCGGTGTTAACAGATGGGCAGGAAGTTCCTTCTCTGTGGTCAGTTGCTCGCTGCCTGATTTCATTACTGGACTTCCAGTGGGGGTTCTTCTCAGTCCTGTGACACCAAAGCCTGAGACTCTCCCCAATGACAGGCAGCTTCAAGCCTCCTTCTCCTCTTACTTGTGGGAACCCAGGACCATTTACTGTGTTATGCTGTGGCCACTGCTGCTGTCCCTGCTGTGTGCAGGTGAGTGGGGGGGAGCTGGGGCAGGGACTGATGGGACAGGACCAAGATACCTCTCATTTCTTTGCAGGATCCACAGCTCAGGAGCTAAGATTCCAGCTGGTAGTGCCCAAGTCAGTGACTGTCGAGGAAGGCCTGTGTGCCCATGTGCCCTGCAGCGTCTCCTACCCCTCTTATAAACCCCATCTTCAACGTGTCTTTGGCTTCTGGTTCCAAGAAGGGGCCCATTTACATGAAGACCCTCCAGTGGCCACAAATGACCCCAGACAACTAGTGCAGAGGGCAACACAGGGCCGATTCCATCTCCTTGGGGACCCAGAGAAAAATGACTGTTCCCTGCTCATCACAGATGCACAGAAAAATGACACAGGAATGTACTTCTTCAGAGTGGTTAGAGATCCTTTTGTGAGATACACTTACAAAGGAAACCAGCTGTCACTGCATGTGATCCGTAAGCAATGACATTCACAAAGCACAGTGTGTGTGTGTGTGTGTGTGTGTGTGTGTGTGTGTGTGTGTGTGTG